AATATGTATAATATATAATTTTATATTTGAACATTTATTGGAGACAGTATGTTCTAGCGACTTATCCTGTTCCATTATTACTAATTTTGCTTATAATAAAGAAGTTATTAATTACGCAATTATAAATAAATGAATAATTAATCAGGACGAGCGTGTATTTTTGTTACGGAAGCAAACAATTCTTATATTTGTATAATTAAACATTTCAATACAAATTTCTATTCTTCATTAAATTAAGCCTCTTTATATGATATAATAATTAATAGAATGAATGCCGGCGGTCGGTGCACGCGGCTCAGCTACGTTTTTTAAAGGAAAGAAAGAAAAGCACGACACATAAGTGTTAGAGCGAACACATCGATAGGAACACCGAGCTGCTCTAACTGTCTCGCTCGCACTTCCTTCATTAGACGGTCGCATGAGGAAAACAGCTATAGGGACACCACTAACTTGACATCACGTCTTGCAATGCTTTCTCTCTCGATCGTCCGATTTGCGCTAAGGATGCAAGATGAAAATATCCCCCACTACTTTTTCCCTTGCTGCTCGCTGTGCTCCTCGCTTCAAGCGACACGTTAAATACGCGTTTGTGTGAATGCGTGTGACGCCTTCGGTTGTTTCACACACGTATACCGTTGCCGGCGAGGAACACCATACGTGCCGGTACGTGTACCTAAGTGCATAATAAATAATAGAAATAGCAATTTCAGTTACTTAACAGTTATTTAACTTCGTGCAACAATTTTCAAGTCGATTTGTCGTTTCTAAAACATCGCAGACTTATAATATGGAGTTAAATTACGTGCTGAACATATTTCCCATCAAAATTACATTTCCAGCGACCGAACAAACTACAATAAGTATAGATTTCAGCGGGCGTTACTGTTGCCGAGACACTCACGCAGTAAGAGTTCTCGATTTATGCGAAGAAAACAAAAAAAGTAATCAAAAATATTATGCTAATAAAAACTATATTTACTGTAATATCTGTTACGAGAAAAATAAAAAAAATTTGCTTTGAATAAATTTTATGTATTATTTTAGTAATATTTGTTGCTTTCTTTTAATGTCATTAAAAATACTTTAATAGCACGACAGACTTTTGCGGAAACACACACATCAACGGATATGAGCAATATTATAATCAAAATGTTAATTATTTTGGTAAACCAAAAACTTCCAGGAAAAAATAATATTATCATCCAAGTCAGTCGTCTCGACATTCAGTCTTTTGCAATCGTTAGTGTTTAGCAGTTGAACAATTGAAATCGAGGAATTGCTGAGAGTCTGTAACTCCCGTAGGCTTCAGAATTTTTAACAACTCTAAAGTAAGTGAGATAGTGCGTAAAACATTTTACCTTTAATGTTTAAAATACTGTCTATATTTTGTATATTTTGTATATTTTATTCTTTTAATAATAAAAAAAATTATTTTAATAAATATATTGATAAATAAAATTTATATACTAGATTTATTGATTTCAATGAATAATATATATAATAATAATGATGTAACGCTTTTTCAGACGCGTGACGCAACTTGATTACACCACATTTTGATTTTTATTTCATAATCAACTGTTGCAAACATTCCATAATCGTGCGCAGGATGTTTTCTGAAAATAATCTCGGCAAAGATTATTCCAGCATATCTAAACACGAACTAGGATTGCATGTTTGTAACAACGACAGAAATATTGACGAAAGTTTGCGAAATTTGGCCGAATATTTTATTCATGTCTACAGTATACATTTCATGACGTTTCATCCACTTGTGAACATAAGTAGAATTGAAAAATTCCAAGATTTATGTAACAAAGATATTGTAGGCAGACATTTTTCAATCAGTAACGTCATAAAAAAAATTAATTTCTTTTCTGACATGCAAGATGCAATTGCAGATACTTTGGAGACATTTTCAAATTTCAGAAAGTACAGTCTACCGATTTTTATTATTCTGGGTCTTTTAGGAAACTGTTTGTCCGCCATTGTGCTATTGCGTAAAAAGATGCGTTTTTTCTCGTCCAACATTTACTTGGGCGTATTAGCAATAAGCGACATCATCTATTCGATGATATTACTCATTCAATGTCTTATCTTAATGGATATAAAACCAAAAGAAAATTATTTGTATTGGTTATATTTCTTCATGGATTTTTGGAGCTTTTTTTCCGAGTTCTTGAGTGTGTGGCTCATAGTAGCCTTTACCATCGAGCGATATATAGTGACAAAGTATCCGCTTCTACGTCGATCCTGGTGCACTGTCAAACGAGCAAAAATCATAGTGATAACGCTGATGGGACTAGCGGTTTTACGTAGTATTCTACAAATTTTTTTTATTTTTGGGACCAAGCATATTAGAGATGAAATGTATTTTAAAAAAGATATAAATATCTATGATGTATACAAACATTTAAAAATTGGACAGTCAGAAAGGAGCTGCTCAGACAAGAAGAATTATGGATTCTATTATAATATTTACTTTACCTGCTCTTGTGATAGTAATCTGCAATACTCTGATAAGATATCACATTTACCAGCAAAATCGTGTTCGCAAAATGTTGATTACAGCGTCCGATTCTTCTAATGAGAGAACTCAGATTTCTAGTGACAAAATGCTTGAGCATAAGATCACAAGAATGCTTATTCTCGTTTCGAGCATATTTGTCATCTTGAAATTACCTGCACATTACTTTTTTTACATTGCTATTTACGTACGTATCAATAATTCATATTAAAATAATACCGACCATAATACATATAGTTTATTTATTCTAAAAATACATTCTGTATAGGACAAGAAAATATTAATTAATTTTTCTCTGAAAATTGGAATTTTAAAAAATAATTTATACTGTTCAATTTTTACATTATGAATGAAATTATACAATAGATTTTTTATATTAGATATCCACGTAAGAAAATGGATGCATTGAAATACAATATGATATTATTAATGGTTATATAAAACAAAAATAACAATGACATTTTTTTCAGATTAATAATGGCATTGTGGCAGTCATGTCCATAATATTCGACTTATTAGACACAGCACATTACAGTATAAATTTTGTTCTCTACTGCGCAACGGGACAAACTTTTCGCAGAGAACTAATCCACATGTTTACAAAACGTACAAATATAAGGAAGAACAAAAATCATGGAGATGTATAATTATAAGCAACAGTATAATTGATGTCTAGTTATGTAGTCGCAGTAAGGTAATTCCAGTTAACAGTAATTAAACACGGCGATCTATACTGTACATACATCGATAAGTTTACAAAACTATTGTAGATGTAAAAACTACATGATAAACATACACAAAAATTTACAAAATATGTATTGTAAATTTGCATATTTTCATAAATTTTATACTATTTACTTAGTATATTTTCATTTATCATGAAATATTTATTTGATTGATGTATATTTATCGAATTTTTTGACAGTGTGCATATTTATATTACATTAATAGAAAATTCGTTTACTATCTTCGTTATATGATTTTTATTATTAAAGTATGCAATAAAAAATGAACCAATTTTTTTTCATATTGATAATACTTTGCATTTTGTTACAGCTTGCAAGTTTACGTCTAATCGCACTTCAAACAAAACAATGTATTTGTTAACAACATACAACTGAAAGTTTTTGAAGAAAAACTAACTCTTCTGACATACACGAGAGATTATAATATACATTATAACTTCATTAAAATATAATTAACTGCAAATAGCTAAGTAAAATAGTTAAACATATTACTGTATTAAAAGTGTTAAAAGTAAGTCAAATATAACAATAAAAGAATTCTATGATACACATGTATATGTATGTAGGTAGTATATACAGGGTGTCTGGCAATAATCGCCCCACCGGTCATATACAGGTAGAGGAGGTCAAATCGAGTAGAAAAGTCCTTTACCATTTTTTAATTTTCATAATAAGTACTGAGTAATTAACGAAAAAGATCGGCGAATCCGCGCGAGTAAAGCGCGCGCGGCGAGAAGGACATCCCACTGCTATGCGATCACTAGGCGCGCGATGAAGCGTTGGGAGGAGCGCTCTACAAATGACAATGGCAACATACGAGCGGCGCGTAACGCTAGATCCTTGTGTCCTAGTGATCGCGTAGCAGTGGGACGTCCTTCTCACCGCGCGCGCTTTACTCGCGCGGATTTGCCGATCTTTTTTCGTTAATTACTCAGTACTTATTATGAAAATTAAAAAATGGTAAAGGTAAAATGGTAAACTTTCTACTCGATTTGACCTCCTCTACCTGTATATGACCGGTGGGGCGATTATTGCCAGACACCCTGTATAATATTTTAACGCATCATAAAGAAATAGCCAGTTTTATCAATTCTTTCAATGAATATGAGAAATATAACTTAGAACAAGTGTTGAAGGATTACCTCAGGACATTGAGATATCCCTAAGATGTCATAGGATGTTTTGTGCTGTGTGAGGATTTACTATTTGAAATAGGTGAATTGTGACATCGTGCATCTCAATTTATAGACAACTTCTGATCATCAAATTTTCGATAATGTCGTATATATCGCGCGATCACAAAAATATTTTCAAAAGAAGAAAAAAGAAAAAATATATTAAAATTGTGTTGCATAATATTTATATTATGTCACAAATATCTATATCAGCCAGTGTATTGATATACAAGTATGTACATGGTTGATAATTTTACTTACTACACATGTGCATATTATTACTTTTTTATATATGATAACAATAATAAACGCTTTTTTATATATAATAAACGCTTTTAAACAGATATTGCAATTTTTATCTATTACATTGTACATATTGCTTCCCTTTATGTTTTGAGCATTTTCGACCAATATACTTACAATTAGATTGATGATAAAAATTGAATTTGTATTTGCTATTGCAAATAGTTGTCAAAACGAGAGATCAATTATCAATTATTTAGAATGCGCCGATGATATTGTTCCATTATTCAAATAAATTTTAGTACTAAAATTTTCCTAAAATAGTAGCATGATAATATTGCATGCAACTATATAAATTCTAATGAAACTAAATATATAATATTAATTAAAGTGTACAAAATAAGATACTATAATGTTGTAGTTATTTAGTACGTAATATATAATAACCACAGTTGCCATGTAATCATCAATATTATGCTAAATAAAAACTATAAATGTTAAAATATAGAATTTATATTTTAACATTTATAGTTAAATTTTAAATTTTAAATTTTATATCAATATAATATATATAAATATACGTTTAACTTAGATTTAGAGTATCTACGAACAAAAATTGTCTTAATAAAGTATAAAATTGTTAATTAACTTGTGCGTAGTATATGTTATAAATGTCAAATAAAAGTTCTATCATATGATAAGAACATTGTAACAGATATTTAAAGTACATAAACTATCACATATAAATGTTTTTCTTCATACTTGAAAAAAAACTGCTGTCTCATGTCGTCAAATGAGAAACAAGATAGCGGCGAATCTGATCATATAAATATGCTACATGATTATTCGAAATCATTTAAATCATTATTCGAAATCATATTTGCGCGTCAAGATATTTACATGTAGTATTCAGAGATGTACAAGATTTTGTTTTATAAGTAAAGCATAATTTTTTTTAGTAGAAATTTCTACAAACGTGATTAAAATATACTTTTGATTCTCGTCGAACGATACTTGAGTTTATTCTATCCAGAAAAAGAAACTTGACTTTCAGCACAAAGACTATTCAGCACTTGACTACACGTGTTACTTGATTAAAGCGATAAACAAGTGAGTGTATCTCGAAACATATCTTGTAATGTATTTCGAAAACGTATCTTCTAAGAGAGTTTATTATGATTTTGGAAAGAAATATTGAAATAAATGTCATTTTTTAATAGTATTTCTATTATTTATTTATACCAAAAAATTTTAGAAATAAATTTTAGAAATAAAAATTAGTCATCCTAATAATAAAAAATAATAAAAAAAACTTATTTTGAAATACTGATACAAGTGAAAACGGTATCGGTCCGAATTGATGTGTCGTATTCTGTGCGGTTGCCGAAATCGTTAGTAATACAAGAGTTAGTAAGATAAACTAATATATTTGTACTAATGCTATTTGTACTAATGCTAAATACATAATATTATAGTTTTGAGTACATTACAAGTGCAAGTTTTTAATTTTTTTAAATTTTAGATAAAGTTTTGCAAAATGTATATATTGTATAATTTATTTTCGTTCCTTCAAAGAACGTTATTCTTATTCAATTGTGAGATTGTTTTAAGATTTATTTGTTGTAATGAAATCTTTTCTCTTACAGAGAATATCATGCATTGTTATAATTTATAAGTCACATACCGACTTGTTATAATTATATTTGTCAAAATAAGTAATTTTATATTTGTTTAGATTTGATTCTATTATACTAAAAAGCAGTTGCACTATGAAGAATACCATAAAATTATAGTATTTAAATAGCAACTTGTCAATATTCTTTTTAATATCATAAGTTACACGCACTGAGAAAAGTCAAATTGTCTGTTCAATTTTTAGATGAAACAGATAGATTCTGGTAAATTCAGCCAAAATACTGTCTGTTTCGTCTAAAATCGTAACAGACGGTTTGTTGAATCAAACAGACATTTTCTCAGTGTAAAGACCTATATTTTATTAAAAATTTATATTATAAGAAATTATCGGGATGATTTACATTTATATATTTTATTATTACTTCTTTAAAAATAGTTTCTAATTTGTATGTAAAAATATTTTAATTTGCTTTTTATTCACTGACAAAAGAGTTTAACATTTGATTCGTTCATCCGTTAAGATTTGTCCCAATCAAATACTATTCACACAACATATATAATTTTAAAAACACATATAATAGTAAGGCTCCATATGATAACAATCAAGGAATATAATAGAAGAGCATTAAGAGCCGTCGCAGGATGTTAGTGCTAAATTTTTAATTTTTTCTTAAAGAAATTAATAAATTAGTCCACAAGAGACAGTTAGATTGTACACCGATCTCAGATCGAGATACCTAAAGTGTACGAAATTTTCAGTACATTGTTTTCATATATCGAGAAACTTAATGTACATATAGGAATTATTGGAAAGAAAGGAAGAGAGAAAAAATATTAGGGCGCGAGTGGCTAAGCCGGGAATTGAACCCGAATGTTCCGTTTGCTGGGCGAATGTTCTGACCACTAAACTATTCAGACCCCACGCTTTTAACATTTATCTCTCCTAGATTAGGAAATCAACAACCGTAAGGTTATCGCAGTTCGTTTCAGCCGTTGACACTATACACATATATATATAAAATATCTCTGACAATTCAAATAAGATTAGTTTTTTATAATTCCGACATTTCATACCAATTTTATGTAGGCTTAGTGTCAACGGCTGAATTTTGTAAACAAAATGCGATAACCTTGCGGGATATATTTATTTTCATTAATTTCATGTTACTTGCTTTCTCGAATTTTCGTTCACTGAAGATGGCCAAAATAAATAAGCCGAAACGTTTGAATTAACTAATTGTTAACTTTTTTTTACTAAGCAACCAACACCCAGCTCTGGGCTGACAAAACTATATTTTTTAATATATAAATTATCTTATGTATGATAATGTAAATGAAGCGATTTGAACATTATCACTGCTATAAATTTTCCCTTAGGCGTTAATACAAGATAGACTTTTATACATAATAATTGATAAGATAAAAATAAATGAAAAAACGTATTGTGAATATATATTGAATATGACATTATACACATGCATGGTGCACAATGTGCACTTTGCTTATTGCAACATCACATTCAATATGTTACATTTTTTTATTTACGTTTTATTTATTTTATCAATGACTATGTGTATATAAAAGCCTATCTTGCATTGACGTTTAACAGAAACTTGATAACAGTGACAGTGTTCAAATCGAGACTCACATTGAGGCTGTTACAAAGTATTCGAAGTTGTGTATACTATTGTTAGTATAAAGTGGTAAAGCAACATTTTTATGCTGAAATCTTTAGAAAAGTAACGTAATAAAATTGTTAATAAGGTAAACTCTACATTTTTATTTAATTTGTATTACTAACAATAGTGTATAATATTAAAGTATTAGTTATATCATTGGATTTAGGTATCAAAGAAAAAGTTTTTAATTTTTTTGTAAAACATAGTTTATGCATGGTTAAAATTTCGTAAAAATCTATATTATATATAAATTATTTATATCTATTCGCGAAAAATGATATTTTTATTTGATTGTAAGATGTTTATTTGTTACAATAGCATACCTTTTTACGATTGTAACATATTATCCATTGTTATAATTACATAACAATTTCTTATAAATATATTTATTACAAGATAAATGATTTTAAATATAATTTTACTAAAAAAGCTGTGTTATAAAGAATATTGCAAAATTATAATAACACAATGCAACTTGTTAATATTTAAAAAAAATATTTTTTTTTTAATTATGTACATTTCATATTTAATTTACAAGGGCAATGCATGAAATGTTAATTGCGAATGGGAATGTATTATATATTGTTAAAAAGGTCTCGTCGAGTAGAGTCCAGCTGTGCAATATTTCTTGAATGGCACTTCTGGAGGACGCTGTGTGCAATATAAATTATGTAAGAATTATGGTATCAAACGAAAGATCTC